CGGATGGAAGGAGGTGCGGATGGAAGGAGGTGCGGATGGAAGGAGGTGCGGATGGAAGGAGGTGCGGATGGAAGGAGGTGCGGATGGAAGGAGGTCCAGATGGAAGGAGGTCCAGATGGAAGGAGGTGCGGATGGAAGGAGGTCCAGATGGAAGGAGGTCCGGATATGCGGATGTACACAGTTGAGGGGGATGGCCAAGTTACCAAATTGGAAAGCTGCCAAATCGCGTGGGGTCAAGTGACCTGCACCGGTGCGTATGCGGCGGGACTAGCTTAACTCACAGCTGGGTGGACCGACCGCCACACCATCACGCTTGACTTACCACGCTGTGCATCTCGAGGCTGACGGCGTCACCCTTTTTGCTTTGGGGCCTATTTCTTCGGGGGGCGGGAGAAGAAGAAATTGTGTTCCATTGTTCTACGGATGCATCACTGAGCTGTATGTGCATTTTAACCCATGCAGTGTACAGATGAAGAGTCGGACACCAGGAGGGTGGGCTAGGGCGTCCAAGGCAATGCTTCTCTCTCGCTTTGTCTTTTTCGCTCTGTCTATCTCTCTCTGTCCATCTCGCACGCCCCTCGGATGGGAATGCAACTTACTTAGAAAAATTATCGTCTAGCATCGACTTGACATTGTCGTTGACCACACAGCACATGTTGCCATCCACAGGGAGGACATACTCCAAGGCCAGTTGCATAGCAAAGCCAAGAAAAACAAAAAAAAAAGTAAACAGCGTTTTCGTTTCTGGGTCGGAAGAATTAAATAAGACAATGTGTTTGTGAGAACTCACAATGATAATGGTCTCGGGGAGGAGGTGAAACATGACGATGGAGAAGATGAAGCCGGATCCAAAGCAGTTTAAGTTGGATAGGATCCCCTTGATTTTATTTTCATGTTCGGCATTCTTTTTGTTCCCAAGGAGCCCTATGAGGTATGGGATTGAGCATCCGAACGTTGCCACACAGAGGAAGGTGAATATGCAAATTGCCTTCGCCAGGAGGAGGTCCATTTTGTCACACTACTGACGAGGGGGCATATGGTGGTAGTTGATGGTGGCTGCTGCTAACTGCTTCTAGCTGGTGGCAGATACTGGCTAGACGGCTAAAAGAATGGGAAAAAAACGGACCGGACCCTCTTGCGTCTCCCTGTGGACGCGTGCGGTGAGCTTACACCTCCTTCGATGCCTTCGAACAAGGGTAGCGCCTACTGCCGTGGCTCCCTTCTCACGAGGAACTTCCCCCAACGACTTTTTTTTTTTTCTCTCTCTCTCAGTCCCGTGCTCCTATTTTCCTGCAAATAATGCCAATGGGTCATACAAATTGGGAGCGACAAAAATGGAGAAAAATAGGATAAGTTGCAGTGCGAGGTGCATCACTCAAAAATGGGCAGTGATGTAGTGCTAATGCTGGAGGTGCTTCTTCGCACCAGTGAAGGAGATGAATGGGGTGGGCGGCGGCCGTAAAGGTAGAGCGAATCGGTGAGGAGTGATGGGGTAAAGGCAGGGCGAAAGGGTAAGGAGTAGCTCCCCTCGGAGTGTGTCTTCGGATGTAAAATTATCTGCATACATGTGCGATTATACATGTACACATGCCCATCAGTCATGCGCGCTCCTCAACTGATTAACACACAAAAACGATAATTCGTTTTATGGACTTAAAAGTAGAAAGGAGCTTCCTCTCGCCAACACACCCACTGAGGTAATTCGGGCAACTGCATGATAGGCGCTCAAACGAAAAAAAAAAAAAAGAAAGAAATAATGCATACATACATGCATCCATACATACGTACCCACGTACATACGTACGTACGAGTGTATATATAATTAAATACGCGATGGCAAAATTTTTACGACGATGATTGTACGGCGAACGTGTCATGTTGACGTGTTACGCTGCGTTTAAAAACAAAATGCGACGCGCGATTTTTCTCCTTTGGTGAACTTCACTTCAAAAGTGGAAGGCTGACATAACTATAGCTGTTAAAGGTAATGAAAGGAGGTAACAAATTCGCGAACACTCCTTTTTTGTAATGCTATGTAGAGAGAGAGAACCAAAAAGAACCGAACCGTACCGAACCGAAACAAAACGAAACAAAAAAAAAAAAAAAAAAAAAAAAATTTCCTCTTTTTCTTCCCACTATCCATCGGCGGTGTTCGAAGGTGTACTTTAGTTGATCCGTTTCCGTTCTCTCCGTGGAGTAGGCGTCTCAGTGTCCGCTTTGCGGAATGGGCCAGGTGATACAGCGCGGGGTAAAGTCTAGTCGTCGTAGAGAGGGCGTGGCGGATACAGGTACGCATGGGTTGGGGGAGGCCACCTATATACATGCGCACATACGTAGTACCATACGTATGTTTGGTACGCAGGCACCTATGTACGTTCGACCTGTGCCGTGCCTGAATTTTTTTCTGTGCGCCACAAAGGCGACAAACGATACCAACAATACGAACGCGACGAACGCGACAAACGCGGTGTGAACGTCATTTAAACGGAGAGACATCTTTGCTGTCGCTCCGTGTACTTTTAAACCGCGAACCCTCAACATAGGCAGAATTTTCATTTTTTTTTCCCCCGTTTTTGTGGCCGAAGGGGAGTTAATTTCCTCTCGTTCTAACCCAAATAAGAGGTTGGAGCAGACGCCACACAGGTTGCCATTTTTTTCTCCCAAGAGGACTTTTAAAAGGCTTCCTCTGTGAAGAGGCACCTTAATGGAATAGACAATGAACAGCCTCTTCTTCTTCGTCCTCCTGCTCCACGAACTCCATCCACCCCAGTGTAGTTCCTTCTGAGCCCACCGCACATCTGTACAGTTAAGAGGAAAAGACAAAAGGACGATACACATTGGAGGTTGACTTTGTGGTGGCGGCCAAAGGACGGGGGATGGGATTCACTGATCCATGTGGTGAAGAAGCACCAACGTGGGGTGTACTACCTACCCATGGCAACACTCCCTTTGATGATTTGTAACGAGAGGGGGAAAAAATGAATCACTGATCGGGATGGTCTAATTATTTATATGTCAATTTTCTCCATCATACTTATGCAGGTGTAGTTGGGCAAGGGGGAATAAAAAAAAGGAAAAAAAAAGAACCTACCAGAGTAGCCTCTCCCTTTAGGGTGGTAAAGAGGAGTAAATGCACACAGGTACACAAACACGCAAAGAAACACACAAACACAGAGACCATCCCAGTGAACTAATCCTACTGTGGCGTTAAACCCAGTGGGAGAATGCCGAAACCGTAAGATGGATAATTAACTAAGTGCCGCACCTCCCCTTTGGAAAAAAGCAAAGGAGTCCCTACCTCACCATGCTTAGTTTCAAGCGTGCCCTTTCCACCGTGAGGGGCAACCAATTCCGCCCTCTCAACAATCCGGTGTATCTGATAAGAAGGCATCTTCATCATGCACATAAGGATGGAGGCGGGGCAGAGGGGCCCTGCAGGAGTCCACAGCCATGCGTCCTGCTCGAGTCAGAAATTTTCTTGGAGTTCAAAGGTATCCACCGAGTGGAGAGGCGGAGTAGTGGCAGAATAGCGGCGGAATAGCGGCGGTGGAGCGACGGTGGAGGGACGGTGGAGGGACGGTAGAGTGCGAAGGGACTCGCTCAGTTCCGTGGCAAGTATCATGATACACAAAATTTGGCATCCTCAACAGATGTCGACTCGTGCGCACCTTTCCCCCCCCTCTGTCTGCCCCTAGGCCACTTTTACAGGGGAATGGACGTGCGGGACCTGTGCAGGTGGTCTACATTCGATGAAGTTATTTTTCTGTTCCTACGTAAGCGATTGCCAAACGGAAGTGAATTAAAGCGAATAAGTCGCTATGTTCAGAATGAATTACACCGGTTTTGCGAAAGGAATGTCCTACAAATGGGAAGACTGCTTCAGACTTCGGCCCCCTTGGAGCTGATACGGTTAGCCCTACTACAGCTTTCTCATCAAGCCGGTGCAGAAGCAGAATCGGAAGCAGCGACAGAAACAGGAACTAGGGATGATCCCCTTTTTAATTACCTCAAAATATTGGCTGCATCTGTGAAGTTACTCCTTCAGTGGGGTCATTCCCAGTTGGTTTCTCCACCCATGCAGGACTACACAGATTTGACTTCCCTCCTCATTGATGCGTACCCCATGGGAGGAGCAGATGTGGACTTCCGAGGAAGAAATAAACAACAGGATGGTGCGGCAGATCTGAACGATTCACGCCAGAGGAATGAACCCAAGAGGGAGACGATAACTCCCCATCTGTGGAGAGAAGAGAAAATCAAACTGCTAAATGCCTTCCTCGTATGCATGTGCGAACAGGGGATGAATGAGAATACATTCTTCATCCGCATGCTTAGTAGTGTACAGCGCCACAATTATTTCAGCTTGTGTGTCTCGGCTAGTACATTCTACATCGATGCATTCAGGAATGTTGATCTGTGTCATTCGTTAGATGGCTTCCTCAGGTTTGTGGTCCCCTCGGTAGGGGGCGCGAAACGGGGTGATCAGGACCAATTTGGTAAACAGGGCGAACCTGAAGGCCGACAACTTCGCCAGGGGAACCACCTGAAAGATGCCATCGCCGTCCCCCCGAACGTCGATTTGTTTTTCCAGAAGGGAAACTGCTACAGAGAAAAAAATGCAATCCTTAAAGCGTACCTGACTGAGTACTGCAATAACACATGTGACAAGAATCTCCAATGTATACAACATTTCGAGAAAGTGGAACAATTCTTTTTAAAGAATCAAAAAAAGCACCCCTCCTGCTACTACTACCCCTTGTTGATATTTCACCTTTTAAGTTTACCTCTTCCTTTGCTGCCGTCTGTGTTTTTCATAATGAGACTACTCTCCTTCACGGCTCACCGGCAGGAACAAATTGGCAACAACAAGGTGGTGAAGTATGCGGGGGTTTACGTGGGAGTCCCACCCAGAGGGAATCACATGGAGAGGTAGCACATCGTGCTGCCATATCGCCGCATTGAGGTTAGCGCCCCCGTTTTGGTTCTTCTCAGGGGGGAACGGAAGAGGAGTCTGCTCTTCCTTCCAGTTTAGCTGCACCTCGGAAGGTGCTCACGCGGTTGGAGTGGTTGCATCATTTATTTTTTCTTTATTTTATTTTATTTATTTTTTTTATTTTTTATTGTATTCTTTTTTGTGGCCTGCCTATCCAAAGGGTAGAGGGACCAATACGTCGCGTAACGCTACACCTGCAGAGAGAACAAAAAAAAGACATGGAGGGGACCAAATTGGGAATTTTTTTTTTTCCCTATCACCGCATATTAGCGCAATGTTATATTTATTTTCACGCTAGGCAAAGCGTCCCCACGGGAGGAGATTACCCCCCGACGCCGCTTTACTTCACAACAGAAGAAGGAAAACTAACTTTTCCAAGTTGGGGTCTTCACAGCTGTAACCTCGTTACTACTGCTCCAGCCGTCATGCCCAAATTGGGAAGCGTTACACACATACGTCAGTAGGAGGATATGAGGTGATCACAGGGGGAACACATACATGTGCGTGGTGTTACCGCCTTCCCTTGTGGGCATTTTAAAAAGGGACGTGTTCCCATCTTGGAACACTTCTTTGTATGCACTGTTGTGGCTTCTACTTGTGAGCTGCCATTGTGATCTGCAACTCTGAGCTGCAACTCTGAGCTGCAACTCTGAACTGCAACTCTGAACTGCAACTTTGAGTTGCAGTTGTCATCTGCCATTGTGGGGGGGTCACCCTTTCGCTTCCCCCTCTCCCCCATCTGTTCTGAACAATCTTTTTTTTTGGGGAGGGAAAAAATCATTAGGGCCTTGTCCATAATTATGGTTGGGGCAGCTCTTCCCCTCCCGATTTTTACCTCAAAAAATAGGCGTTCACCGGGGAGGGGGCACGCCACAGAAGATATGCACATACGCAGCAGAGCAGGAACGTAGCAAAGCAGAAACGCACCAGCGTGTATGTTTCTTTTTTTTTTTTTTTTTTTGAATTCCTCCTTTGGGCGCACATGGCTTCCTCCCCACTTAGCTTAACGCGATGCCGATTTTGTTATAGCCTCGCGCGTTAACATTTAATGGCGAAATGGAATGAAGTCCCCGCAGGTTCGACTTCTCCTCCTACCCCCCTTTCCCAGCTGTACATCCACGCGGTTAAGCATCTCCACGAGCGTGTATGAACGAGTGTGCACATGTACGGAAATATATTTTTAAGTTCCTGCTTCTCTTTTGTGTGCTTGGGCATGGTTGTATTCCTGCTAGTGTCTGCCTTTGGGGCTGTGGGGGGGTGGGAGCAGGGTAAGTAGTCCTATTCCTCCGCAGCCGCGAGCACGCGCGTACACAGTTGAGTGCGCATCCTGTTGCCCTTTCTTCACGCCCTCTTGTGTGCTTCCCTTTCTGCTGCCCTTACGCGTCACCACCCTGTCGATGCATCCCATCCTCACCAAACCATGTTTAAGTTTCTGCACGACATTGATGTGGCGAAGAGGAAGCTCCTGAACACCATCAACAACAAATTGGCACTCCCCAACGAAGACGATGAGTGCCTCTTCCCGGGTGACGAACAAACTATGAGCCGTGCACTGGGGGCAGGGGAGTGCTGGCTCCCAATAAAAGGGGACTCTCCAAAGGGAGAGGGAGGCGAGGAGGAAGGCGAGGAGGACGAAGAGGGGGACGATGAGCAGGACGATGAGCAGGACGACGAGGGGGACGGCGAGGACGATTCAAGCGAAACTGACGAGGACGACTCAGTCCAGTACAGTGGTGACAACGTTAGCGAATCCGACGGTGATGCGGAAACGAGTGTACGAAATGGACATGAAGAGACTGACACACATGAGGAGAACGAAAAAAGGGAGGACAAAGCTGAAGGGGTAGCGACAGGAGGGCTAGAGGCAAGAGGGGCAGCGTGGAGAAGAAAAGATGCTCCGACGATGTGTGCGCCTCCGCAGGGCGAGGTCCATGTGCAAAGCGCCAGCGCAGGGAGGAGGATGAAGGCGCAGAAGGGGCAGTCTCGCCAGGGGAGTGAAAGACACGAAGAGAGCAGCAGAATCGCCACCGGCAGCACAGTCATCATGGGCAGCGAAGTTAGCACGCAGGTGGGAGCCATTCCGCTTGCTCAAACAATCAGAGGACACTGCGGACACAGTGAACACAGCAGACCTAGCGAACGTGGCGAGAGCTCTGAACCGGGCAGCCGCGCCATGCCCCATAACGAAGGCCAAGTGGATGAAACAGAAAGAAGTTACCTCCCCAAGTTAAAGAAGGAGACGCAAAAGTGGAAGGGAAAAAAACCCAAAGCTGACACGAACATCCTTACAGAGTCTACCTTCTACAACAATCTGAAACAGAAAGTGGCAAACAGTCTGTGTTGCAAAGTTGATCGGAAAAAGTATGACGACGTGGTCGAACAAATGATCCAATTAAGAAAACTCTTCAGGGAAGAGGCAAACTTGATGGTGGACACCGGGAAGGGTCAGTCCACAGAAGGGAGCTGCTCTCGTCAGCAACAGAGGAAGATGGCCGAAGAGTGTGCCACAAAGATATGCGATCTGGTGCTAGGCGATAGGAGCAAGCTGTTTGGGAAGCTCCCCATCCATCGCAGTGGAGACGGGAAAGACGAAAAAGACGAGAAAAGCGACGAAAGCGATAAGGAGGAGCAAATTTTAAGTGACGATACAAACGAGAAAACAAAAAACGCTAAAGAAATAATCGAATTGAAAAGGAGAAACAAAATACTTAACGACATAAACGAGAGACAAACTAAACAACTGTTACAGCTATCGTGTCATTTGTCTTCCAACATAAAAAGTGACTCAGAGACAAGTGAACGCAACTACATAAGCGCTAAAGTTCACTGCATGGAGAAGGAGCTAACTCAATTGAAGGGAGAATTGGCCCTATTGGAAGAACTGGCTAGTGATAAAAATGTACTCGTAAAAAAAAACTACGAATTAGGATGTTTAATAAAATCGCTGGAAGTCTCTTTGCAGAGGAAGTCCCACCTGTGTGTTTCACTGTGGAGGGAGAAACACGATCTACAGAAAAGGTTACAACGGTGTCGTGAGCAGGTGCAGCTCTCGAGGGAGGACCTGCGTGCCTGCAGAGCGGCTTTTCTGGACATGAAGCAAAGGGAGAAACGACTCGCTTTCCAGTTTAAGGGCCTCATCAAGACCCGTGGCGACAGGGCCGGGGGGGAAATGTCCCTGCGGCGTCACAAAAGGAAGGGGAGGCTGAAGCTGCGCGTCAGAACCGAAAGCGCCGCTTGTAATGATTCAGCGCGGGATCCCCCGTCGGAGCGGCCAAAGGGTGTCCATTTTGAGCGCCACCCGAAAAGTGTATACCCTCCGCGCCGTACAAACAGCGCCGATCCCCTGCGGCCGCCACCAGTGGCGCCCCAGAGTCATGCATCCAATTACTACATCAGCGCTGGTGCGATATGCGATGGGAACAGCGCTGCCGACTTCCGTGGCGACTGCGGTGCCCTGGAGGAGCTCTCGCGCAAAGTAAACAACTACAAATTTTTTATAGACGAATGGAAGTCTTTTTCTGTTAGAATCAAAAAAAAAAAAGACGCGGAATTCAAAGAAACAAAAAAACTGTTATCACAACAGGTTGCAAAAAATGAAATGCTAGAAAAAAAATATCAAACGCTTTTGGAGAAAATGAGATCCCTTGGCAGGGGTGCAGACAAAGGCAGTGCCATGGGCACTGAAATGGGTAGTGTCACAGACGGAGGGATACGTTGTGAAGGGAGTCACCAGGACGGGGTCTGCCCCAAAACGAAGGAACTCATAGACGAAGTGCATTTTCTGACAAGTGAAGTTGACAAACTGAGGGAGGACCAGCTGCTCCTGCAGGAGGACGTGAAAAAGAAGAGCACTATTATCGTGCACCTTATAGAGAAGCAAGCCCTCAGTGAGGAGCATTTCAGGTATGCCTTCTTCCCGCCAGGTGGAAGTCCATTGAAGGCGCGTGGAAGCAGGACTGCAAGCTGCTTCTGGAATGCCGCTCCACTTGCACATAGTTATACGTGGCTCCTTAAAAATCTAGACTGTCGCTTGACCCACCACAGCACCTTACCTCCCCCCTGTCGCAGATTAGAGAAGAGACTGCCCATACTCAACAACAAACTGACGTACGATGAAATCAGGAAGATCATGGAGGAGACCCTCATTGAAAACATTCGGCTTCGCTCCGACTTGGTCACTCTGGCCAAATGTGTCAAGGGCGACAGCGCTGGATCTTCTGTTGGGCAGGACAACCCTGGTGCGTAGTAATCACCTCGTGGGAGGGGAAAAACAAAAAAAAAACAAAAACAAAAACAAAAAAAAACTCTTCCAGTTGGTTCTTTCTCCATTTCAGATTGTCTCTTCTCTTTCCCCCCTCTACCCTTTTTTTTTTTTATATTTCCTTTTTTTTTTTTTGTGAATATACACATTGATCCATTTTGATGCGACGCATTTTTGGCTGCGTCCCGTTTTTTTCTTTTTTTTTTTGTTACTTGTTATTTGTCTGCAAGAATGGCTGCTAAGGATGCTAAGTCTGACCAGACCGACAACGAGGGGTGGTCCTCCTCCTGCACCATCTTCTCTTCCCTCCGTTTTTGCCATTTTGAAACGCGCCTTTTTAATTTGCCTTCATTTGTGTGCCCTCGGGGGTGAGCAGCAAACCGTGAGAGGAAGGGGGGAGGGACAGCAGCCTGCCTCCGCGGAGGGTTACTACTGAACGTTGCCCCGACACCTTGCTGCTGCCTTCTGAACTCCACCGCTGATCAGCGCTACGCGCCCCACATCATGCTGAGGGAGACATTCTCCATGCACTTGTCTGACATGTATTTGTTCAAAATGGCCTTGCGCAAAAGATTCTTATTGCTCTCATTGGAGAGACCGTCCAAAATGTTTTTTCCGAACCATCTCGTCATTTGGTAAGCGTAGTAGCTGATGAATCGCTGATACAAGCTTCGATTGAGGAGCTCCTCTAGGGTCACTTGTCTTGAATGGTTTTTTATTTTACTCTTATGCTCTTGCACAAACTGGTCACAGATTTTTTTATCAAAAATGGAAACCACCACTTCTAAGTTACGCCTCGAGGATAATCGATCCCAATTGTATGAACCCACGGTACACCACAGATTGTCTACCATAAGATTTTTTGCATGACAGTGCTTGTTCTGAAGGAAATAGAAATCGCTTTTTCCCTTTTTTGGCCTCTTGAAGAAGTGCTTTCCTAGTGTGGACTCCGCTCGCTTGCGCAGACCGTGCACGCAGCGGCCTGCTTTTCCCTGCGAGGGTTTGCCGCTCCCGTCATTGCTGTGGCTCCCCTCCCCTTCGTCGTCGTCGCTTTCGTCAATTTCTTTGCCCTTGTCACGGATGCCACTACTCTCGCCGCCATCCTGATACTTCCGCAGAAACTTCTTCACGACGTGATACGTGGAGGGCATATCGAGCAAGAGATCCGAGTTTCCAGAAAGGAGAAACGAAATATCGACCCCGTTGTTCAGGGCAGAAAAGAGAGCTCTCCTCAGAAAACCGGGGGGGATAAAATAAGCAGTCGTTATATATATATTTTTCGTCGCTCCCTTTCTAATAACTCTCTGAAAGGTGGACTGAATTGATCGAACGTTCCTCAGCACATTCGATTCTAGGACTTGCACGTAGGAAGAGTTGCCCTCTTCGTCCACATATCGTTTCTGTTCTTCGATTGGTTCCCTCGTGATGGTCGTTTTGGTCATCTTAAGTGAGTCGATAAAAACGTCCGCTAGATCTTTCACTGCGGGCCCTTTCACCCTTATGTGTAAGTCATAGAACTGAAGGCATTTGTTTTTGCATTCTTTTTCGCTTGCTTCAGGATGCTTCTCACTTGAGAGTGGCTGCTCGCACTGGTTCGGCACGATTACCTCCCACTTGGACGCGTCCCGGTCTGCCTCGTCCCCCGCTGTCGCTTCCCTGTCCGCTTCCGCCTCGCCGCTCTTCCAGCCCACCCCGTCCGGGACGACGTGCTCGTACACATTCATCGACCCACAGTACGCAGTGTCATCCAATATTATGATCTTCCGATGGTCCCGAAAAACAATGGGCCACAAATTCAGGAATGAATGCAAAAGTGTGTTAAAGACAATCACATGTACGTTACTCTCCCTGAGTTTTTTCACCCATTCACTTTTAAACTCCGAACTTCCTATATAATCCATCAGAAGAATGACGTCGCATCCCCTCTTCCCCGCATTACATAGACTCTCTACCACCTCCCTTGCCAATTCTGAGTTGTCAATTGTATACGTTTCAAACCAGACCCTCTTTTTGCTCTTATCTATGGATTGAAGTATGTCCCTAAAAGCTGTATGTCCATAATTGAAGATTTTTATTTTATTTCCATCAGACACTTTTCCATACTTTTCTTTGTTTTTTTTTAAAATGTATTTCCACTTTTCCTTCATGATATCCTTTTCCTTCTCGTTCAGGTTTAATTGTTCTACGTTATCTTCCACTAACTTTTCGATGTCAATTAGTTCTTTGTTCTTTCCTTTTTTCTCCTCTGTATCGTCGTCCTCTGTTCCTCCCTTGACCTTCCGGTTGAGCTTCTTCTTGATCGTTTTAGATACGCTGCCTTTCGAATCGCGTTGCGCCTTCAGTGAGGTATTCTGGGGGGGGGTAGCCGTGGCTTCGACAGCAGCAGTTGTAGGGCGAGAAGCAGTTGCACGGAGAGACGTAACAGGGAGGGAACTGGCGGGTGTTGTACTTCCAACTGCTTCCGTCCCAGCCGCTTTCCCTGCAACTCCCTTCTCTACAACCGACTTCTCACCCACACCCCTCATCCTAGTCACCTTCTCCCCGATCGCCTTCTCCTCAACCGCCTTCCCATCCACATCCTTCATTCTAGTCGCCTTCTCCTCAACCGCCTTCCCATCCACATCCCTCATTCTAGTCGCCTTCTCCTCAACCGCCTTCCCACCCACATCGTTCATTCTAGTCGCCTTCTCCCCGACCGCCTTTCCATCCACATCCCTCATTATAGTTGCCTTCCCACCCCTCACTTTTGTGCCCCCCCTTGTGAACACGTGCAGCGGATCCCCTGGGCCATCCGCCCCAACTTCAGCCAAAATGTAGCTCCCGCAAGAGCTCATCCTGAAGGGCGTTTTGTGGGGGAAATATAAAGGGCTTCTCGGATTTCGGGTATGCTCAAAGAGGAAAAAAATAATAAAAAAACGGAAAACTGGGAAAGGCGAGAGGATTAATGAGTAACCCCAGAAGGACATGCCCATTGAACCGCCCAACACAACAAAAAGAAAACCATCAAAATGGCACGAAAAAAAAAAAACAAAAAATAACGTGCATGTGCTGATAGGCCGTTAAGCTGACCACGCCTCCTTTTATTGATTCAGGCGAGTGTGTCAGAGTACACGACTCGCACTTTTTTCTCCTTCAGCATCGCGGGTAGGAGGAAACTGGATCGGACTAGTGGCGGCGGTGATCGCAACTGTGAAGGGGGCGATCGGAGTAGTGACGGAGGAAGAGAAGCACACAGGCGAACGACCCCAAATAGACTCCAAACAAAAAATTAGAAGCGAAAAGTAAAAAAAAAAAGAAAGTAAAAAAAGAAAGCAAAAAAAGAAAGCAGAAAAAGAAAGCAAAAAAAGAAAGCAGAAAAAGAAAGCAAAAAAAGAAAGCAAAAAAAGGAAAGGAAAAAAGAGGAGGAGGAAAACCAAGAGTGAATAATACCACGTTGTTAACTAAACTTGTCAACCCGTGCGAAAATGAACGCGGTGAAAAAGAACAAACCAAAAATAAATGCCTACTCTCCCAATGCGCTCTGCTGGAATTCACCCCGATTGCGCAAATTGCATGGAGGTGTATAACTCGTAGGGAAATTTTAGCAGGTCAACTCATCATGCCATTTCTTCGTTGTAAGATAAGCAAATGAAAAAAAAGAAAAGAAAAAAAGTCTTTAAAACGATCGCTCATCGGAGTGGCAGGACAAGAAAAAAAGGGAGCCTTGCAAAAATGGTTATATGCCGCTTCAACGCGTCACGCCACGATTCTGCATGCGTCGAGTTAATAGGAGGAGGAAGACGACGACATGCAGCAGCAGGAGTCCAGACGCGGGCTGCCAATTTTTTCTCACTTCATTTTTTCCCTTCCCTTTGATTCTTTTTTTTCGACGTGAGAAGCAGAGATGAACGCGCGAAACGCGAGTGTGCACGCTCACCACGAAAGGGGGGGAGCCTGCAAACACATGTGCAATTCTCTGCACGCTGAAATTGGCAAAGACGCGTTAGTAAGGAACACATCAATCGTTTATCTTCAGTGTGAACCGTCGCATACCTTTCAATAGACCCCTTTTTTGTAGTATGGTCATAGAAAAAGAAAAAAAAAAAATGAAGTCATTTGAGCAAAAACAGTGCCAAAACGGGAATACCTCTATTTTAAGTGTGGCTGATTTGCATCTAAGATAGAAGCAGAGAGGTAGAAGCACGTGCATGTATATGTGTTGGCACGTACTTTCCTTTTTTTTTTTTTTTTTGCGGGGGTTAAAATGAAAGGCCACCGACAGAGAAGGCAACCCTGTCTGTGCTTCTAACACGTGTCTCACCACACACATGGTAGCGCATGCTGCGCACCGAGGAAGGTGTATATTCGAACGGACGGACACCAGGGGAGGAGTTCACCAAAATGGGGTTCCTACTTCTTTATCCGATTATATGTTGGGTGCTAATGGGAAGCGTCGCCTCCATCTACGACGACAACTTTGCGTTCACGTTTAAGGAGGTGAATAAGGTAAGGGGGGGTAGGGCGACGGGACGACGACGACGGTGGACAATCAGATGTGCTATACAAACGCGGAGCGGTACACACCGACGAAGACCCAATCAACAGTGAACCCACCAGCCGAGGGTAACAAACACTGTAATGTAAATCCTGACAGACATACCCCAAATGATTCCTTCCTCCAAAGGTACACACGATCAAAAATGAGGTCCTCAAATTTGAAATAGATCTCCTTTTATCCTTCAACGCGAAAAAGACTGCAAAAGAATTTTTCCTAACGGCGTTGATCCCTGCCAGTAAGCCTTCATCCAAGTGCATTAGGGGGTGAATACATAGATGCACGTGTTGTGGCTGCTGCGCTAGGTTGGTCTCGCTTCGACTCGCAGAGAGGAGGAGAAGGAGAGGCGGAGGCAGTGTTTATGGCTGCCCAGCTCCTTTCCCCCTCTCACCACCTCACCACCTCACGTCGTTACCCACGTCCCCCCTCTCGCTCCGCAAGAAAACCTGCGTGTGTTGGCCTTCCAAAGAGAAGACGACAAGGCGGTGCAGGAAAATGTAGAGATTCGCCTGAACAAGGAGGCTCTGGGAGAAAAAGGTAGGCCCAACACACACTTTTTTCCAAATTCCTCAAACATGTGCAGTCACCAACCGAGTAGAGGCTCATCCTGGGTCGCCTTTCTTTCTCCTCACCCAACTCAGACCCATGTGATTATCTAATCACGTCCAAGATGTACCTTCTGAAGCTCTCCACAGATGAGCTTAAAAAATTCAAAATTTATCGCTACCCCTTTGAGAAGAAAGAGAAGCCTCCACCTGTCCCCCCCCAATATGAATACTCGGAGCACTCGCTAAGTTAGTAAATCCATTTAACCAGGGGTGTGGACACACACGTACCAGCAGTCACATGCAGACATACACGTGCAGAATTCCGCTGGTGTATGGCACGATTAAGTGCACCTATATGTATACATATATAAATATATACATATATGTGTGTTTTTTTTTTTTTTCTTTTTTCTCCTCTGCACAGAGAACTTCTTCCCCAGCGATGGAACCATCCACTCCTCAAACTACTTTTTAAAAATCTCTGTGGAGGTTGCCAGGGGGGGGTTCAGCTCCGATGGTATCTGGTGAGTCGGCTGGCATGGCGATGCCCACCATCACGTGGATAGTCGCGTGGACAGCCTCGTGGACACCTCCGCACGCATGCCCCTCGCAGGATTTTTGCCATAGCCGAAAAGAACAACTCTAGCACGGGGAACCAAGAGTGCACAATTTACTCGAATCAGCTGGCCGAGGTGTTTCTCCCTATGGTTACTCACAAGGACCTCTTCCTCCTGTACTGTAACAGTGCCACCAACGCGGAGGTAAAAAAAAAGGGAAAAAAGAAAAAGAAAAGAAAAAAAAAATAATAAAACGAATGAATAAATAAAAAAATACATAATGTATGCACATCGTGTGTGTCCCGTCAGGGGAGTCGACCTTTCCGACGTTCTCGACCTGTCTCCATGTCTTTGTCTTCACCAACTTCGACATGAAATCCTCACAAAACATGCAATTCCATTTACCCCCTCTCGAAGGTTCTCAACTTAGTTCCAGAATTGAGAACAAATTTTGACGTTAAAATATTGGCCAGCAAAACGTTTTATGGGGCTCAGGGGGTGAAGTACACGGTTCAAATGAGCTTAGACAAAATTGCGCCTGCGTTGAAGTTGGGTAGGAAAAGTTGAGGGGCAGTTTCCTTCGGAACATTTAAGAGTGGAGACCATCGCAAGTGTGTAGATGAGTAGCATATGCATGTGCAGTTTCATTTGTTTCTTCGTCTACTTCGTCGTCTTCATCTTCTTCGTCGTCTTCATCTTCTTCATCGTCTTCATCTTCTTCGCCGTCTTAATCTTCTTCCCCTTCTTCATCTTCTTCGTCGTCTTCATCTTCTTCGTCGTCTTCATCTTCTTCGCCGTCTTCATCTTCTTCGCCGTCTTCATCTTCTTCGCCGTCTTCATCTTCTTCGTCGTCTTCATCTTCTTCGTCGTCTTCATCTTCTTCGTCGTCTTCATCTTCTTCGCCGTCTTCATCTTCTTCGCCGTCTTCATCTTCTTTTTCTACTCCTTCTTATGGGGACTCCTTAGACCAAGTGGTCATCCACCTGAAGATGCCCCCAGACCTCTGCTACGCCAACTCCTGCTTCAGTGCAAACAAGGAGGACCCCTGCCGGAACGTCAAGGCCGACCCCTTCGACCAGTGCGCCTACACCTTTCGGAACTACGAGTTTGTCTTGAAGTCGAGTGGGGGCAAGGTGGGAGAAGCGCAGCGCCTGAAGTGGGTAGCCGCTCATCCAATCAGCCGTCTAACCCGTCAACTGGCTACCGCGTCAACTGGCTACCGCGTCAACTGGCTATCGCGTCAACTGGCTATCGCGTCAACTGGCTATCGCGTCAACTGGCTATCGCGTCAACTGGCTATCGCGTCAACTGCCCATCCGATCCACCGCCTACCCCCCGAAGGACGTGAAAGACCAAGTGGAAGTGCTGCTTGAAAACATTAATCACCCCCTCATTAACCTGGAGAGCGATAAAAACTGGACCATAAACCTCCTGACCGTTGACAACTCCAACTTCGTCATCAGGCAGGAACACCAAGAAATCCTGGAGAAGGTCTCCAACGACCTGTGCTCTAAGAAGTTCATCAGAAAATTTGTGAACGTTCATGCGGACAGCGTCACGTGGATGAATTCGCATCTAGCGGTGGTTCCCACGCCGAAGTTGACGCCCCTCGTGGTGGAGGTAATGCAGCAGTGGGGGGAGAGAGCGTGTGGGGGAGGGAGCCTCTGTGTGTGCCGCCATGTAGGCAACGCTTTATCCGTCCACTTACCACACCGCTCGATACGCTGCTCATCTTCCCATCTGGCCACTCACCACCCCCCCCTGCGCAGCCAACCGGCGAGCACGGCGTGCTGGAGAACCCCCTGCTAGTCCAGCTCAAGCTGCGTTTCCCGGAGACGCACCTCTTCAACAAGTGCATAGTGGAGCTCAAGACCATCCACACTTTCGCGTCAGTCACAAGCAGGAGCGAACAGCGACTGGATCGCCACACCTTGAAGTTGATGTTACCCAATTCGGCATTCAAACCAGTCCAAGATGATCAGCACCGTTTGCATATCCACAAGAAATCCATTCGAAACAATGACTTATTAAAATTCCCCCTCAATGTTACCAAATATAACAGTAGAGACTACTGGAAGATCACGATTAGTTGCCTAAATAGTGAGAACAAATACATAAGGGAGGCACAGGCCTTGTTTACATACCCAATCGAAAATAAGAAGATGTTCCTAAGTGACCTTTATTTTGGAGAAAAGCTTGCCAACAATACTTACCTGTTTTACCTGAATGTTTTCCTCTTCGATGAGAAGGAAATAGAAATTAAATTGTCCCTCCAGAATGGGTCCACCTCTTTGGTAGCACCTCTCCCTAGCCCAATCGAGACAGAGAAAACGCACCTAACGGACACATGTGACGCTTATGTGAACACCTCCTGCTATGATTTAGTGTACCATGAATGCTCCAAAGCGCAGCAAACCATTTTGTACAAAATTAACTCATACAGATCGACGAACAAGCACTTCACTGTGTTATTCCCACTTGTCATTCCGGAAGGAGAGAAACAATTTACCTTACAAATGAGTGTTGAAACGAAGAAGCATGCAAAACGTGTACAGAGGGATTTACACGTGGACATAGACCATATAGTAACTCATAACAGCAAAGCGCCTTGCGTAAATAACCTTATCATAGCATTGAAAAAGTATCAATCGTATGAGTCCCACTTATTTCTTCTCTTCAGAGCAGTGAACTGCTATCGAGTGTATGAGCCCTTCCTCATTAATCATCATAACAGTGAAGGCTTCCATGCCAAGACGGATTCATCACAGTCTGGAGACAAGTTCACCTTCCAGAGAACGTACAGACAGACATTCTCCGACAACTACGAATCAGTATCGCAGCTCATTTTTGACCATCACCTAGTTAGTGTCATCACCATTATCCTACTTGATGAAGCGTTTTTTTTAAATTCAAGCATGCCAAGTGGAGAAACAGAAATTGTAGAATTTTTAAAAAAAAAAATTCTCCCCCTTCCTTACAATAAATATTACCTAGTTAATTACTCCAACCAAAATGTACTCATCAGTATGTACACATATGTCGATGCTGACAAGGTCAAAATAGACATTGTCCAGAAATCTTCCGACATTCAACACGTTGTGGCAGCTTTGGATAAAGTCATCTCCTTTGCTGAATATGTGAAGGCGAAGGAGACACACTACATGCACAGCGAGTACAGCATTTTATTTCTAACCGATACGGAAGGAATGGACACCGTGAGAGCGGCTACAAGTTCATATGTCAAAAAGGAAGATGATGTGGAGAAATTTTTTTCCAGGATTTATGTCCTATCCTTTGAAAAAGGGGACGACTTCTCCAACAATGGTATACTTAATGAGTCCATTCAGAATGTGCAACATATGTACACATACAAAAACAAAAAGACGGACCAAATTTTGTTCACTTCGTTTCAAAATTACACGGTTGATGAGAAGCTTATGGTACACTACGCCAAGGCCGTCCTCCAAGATTATCTCCTCCTCCACACACAGATTTATAGAACGGCGTGGTACTTAATAGGAATATGCAGATACAACGTCGTGAAGAACAGCGACGTCACTCGAAAACTGGACTTGTTCTACGTTGACAAGAACGTTAAAACTGTCACGTATTCCATTTCGGCCGATGAAGCCAAGACCGTGCTCGACAACTCCTCCTCCGATTCCTACCAGGACATGTGCAACATTTTCACGCAGCTGCAATTGCTGGGGCATAAGTAGCAGCGCTGCGCCCCCTGCAGTTGCCCCATTTTTGCGGCCAACTGGGCGATGTATCCAGCCGTCCTTGAGGCTTCTTCCAAATAGCTCTTCTTAAAAGAGATGAAAAAGAGAGAAAAGAAAACTCACCTGGTAATACAAACAGCCATTTTAAAAAAAAAAAAGGGAAAAAAAAATCTGACTCGTTCATGCAAATAGCCATTTTTAGAAAAAAGAAAAAAAAAACCGATCTAGCCATACAAATAGCCACTTTCTAAAAAAAAAAAAACGCAGAACAGTAACAGCCAACTGGAATGTTTTACCTATGCACATTTTCCTACACGTGTGTTCAATTCTTTCAAATTTAGTTTCATTCTGCGCAAGGCTGACGCGCCGTCTACACCAGAGTTCACCCTTTTAACGAAGGAATTTGCCCCAGTTGCAGCCTTTTCGTAAAAGCTGCGAAGACGATGCGACATAGCTAATTTAGCCGTGTGGTGGGGGGCGATGGGTCCACCCCATTGAATATCTTTTTTTCTACAATGGTTTCACCTCCACCAAACGCGTACATGTTGTTATTCTGGTTCGTCCTTTTTGGGAAGTACACGTGTCGGTGCAGTGTTGCAGATGTCAACGCCTACACAAATTTTTTCGTACTAACCCTTCAGTTGTCAATGGCTAAACTTTTGCGAGAGTGCTGCAAATGCGCACCCTTTGGTCAGTATGACTTGATATTAATGCCTCGGTCCACCGCGGTGAGGAATTGCCTCTCCGGAGTTCTAACGAGAGGGACGTTATTTTTGTGTCTCCATCCGTGCAGTTGTGTATGTCTCCACCCATTTTTTCTTTTCCTCCTGTTTTGTGCAAATTTACAGAGCTGGGTTGAATCGATGACACTATGCGGAGCGCCCCTGGAGGTCAGAACTGATAACTTTTTTAAAAGGTGATCCGGCTCTTCTCCGTGGGCCTGCCAAGTTGCGCCTCGCAGGAGTGGGTATGCAAACGTACATGTTGACATATCATACGTGCGTTCTCTTGTCGCATTTCCCCAAGGCAGTCTTTTTTTTTTTTTTTCTGTTCTTTCTCTACATTTAACTTTTGCGCGAATGGCAAGGTTGCGTTTGCCATAACGTTGCTGGTTTTTTTCCCGATAAGGGTTCCTCTGCTTAGGAATTTTTTCCCCTTTTGAGAGCCCCCCGCACTTTTTTCCCTTTACATTGTTACTCGACTTGTAATTGCTTGAATGAATATATGCCGCGGAGGCAAGAGTACAGTGCATATGAAATGCGTATTATATATATACATATATATATGTATATATACATATACATATGAACGTAATAATGCGGGTGATGGCTCCCTAAATCGGTTCGTGTTTTTCTGAGAGGGAGGGAAATTCTTTGCAATTGACTCAAGTGCTTTCATTTGTAAATTTTCCGCATAGTTCTCTGCCCATAATTTTTAGGCGCCACCGATTGGCACCAAAGACTCCTCATTTTTACTTTTTTTTTTTTTTTTTTGGTAACATATGTACATGTTTTTTTTTTGTGATTTTCCCGAATGTGGCTGTTACGCATGTAGCCGAGCGTTTGCCTGTTTTGCCCCTTTAATATTTTCCGCTTTACCATTTTTCGCTGAACCATTGGCCGCTTTATCATTCACCGCTTTACCGTTTTTCCCCCTTGAAGAGTGCCACTGGAAGCAGCGTGTCCGGGGGATTTTCTGCGCAGGGGTCCACCAGGGAGAAGCAACGAATCGCTTGCGAACGCAGAAGTGGGAAAAAATATAAATAATTCAATGCTGCTACCCCGCCTTTGGGGTGTTCTGCCTTTTCCGAACAAGCAAACCTCTCCGCTACTGATTGGCGATGTCCAGATGTGTCTGCCCACATAGGGAGAACGAAAAAGGGAGTCACATAAACAACGTGATAAACAGGTTTGAAACGAGCCAGGGAAAAAAAAAAAAAAAAAAAAGAAAGAAACAGAGGAAATACCACTGAAATGCTGAGGATGTCATGGTCTTAAAAATTTTGAGCACCTACAAGTAGAACAATTTTCACCTCACGTGTCCAACTTTTCCTCGAAAGGGTCGCTTCTTTCTGTAGGCATTAACATTGTAAGGATAGGGGGACAACAATCCAGTAGCTCTCGTGACGAGGACCTCACTCATAAGGGTGGAAGCGCGGGCAGACCCAAGATATAAAGAGGGAAGAGATACGCACAGAAAGGTACAGATACGGACATTTACGCACATATAAGCTCTCTAGTGGAGAGCTAAAGGGCGAGCTGGCCACCGATTCAGCGGCGCACGAATGGAGAAGAAGAAGAAAAAAAAATTCTCTTTCCAAGGGTACTTCAAAAAATCGACACCGTCAAGCAGCAATGAGGAGAGGGACAACCAGAATGACTACGTCGATGGCGACCACGTGGGTGGCGACGACACTATTGAGAGGGACGAATCAGAGGTAGAGTTCAGCAGCCATGTAAGGACGCAATTCTGTAGAACCCCTCTAGGGTTGGTGGCTTATTACCGCTGCACAGAGGGGAAGCACGCCACTCTGGAGGATTCCTCCGGGTGCAATAGGCCAGCGTCCATCCGCAACTATCGGGAATCGGGTGCAGGTAAAGCCTGATGAGAACGTCCATAGAGGTGTCTATAAATCGGTGCGGCTTCTGTATTGGCTGATTCATTTGCCCCCTCCTCACGGTCGCTTTTCTCCCCCACCCCCCACAACTGCAGACTCCCCGTGGATGTTTAAGCTAAAAAACAAGGAGCTAGTCGATCTGGAAAACAAGAGAGGAAAAAAGGCCAAGGCAAACTACTGCCTGAAGCTGAGCGGAAAATCCAAGGGCTACCTCCAAGTGGAGTCAGACAACTGTTTAGAGCTCCTGGGAGGAAACTACTGCACCAATGAAAGGGCCATAAGGATAAAAAAAGAAATTTCAAAAAAATTAGGAAACGAAAATAATGAAGGATTTACGTTCGAAATGTGGATTGGAATAAAAGAAGACAAACTTTTTTTCGAAGAGGAAAAGAAAAAAAAAAAAAAAAAGAAAAGAAAAGAGATGAAGGATTTACGTTCGAAATGTGGATTGGAATAAAAGAAGACAAACTTTTTTTCGAAGAGGAAAAGAAAAAAAAAAAAAAAAAGAAAAGAAAAGAGAAATATATTTGTTTAATACAAAAAGGGAAAGAAGAAAAGTACCAATGGAGTGTCTACCTAGTGATAGACAACGAGGAATGCTATTTCGTCATCCACTTCAGGAATGAAAAGTTCCGATTTGATTCCTTTCCACTGGGACATTTAAAAACGAGAAAAATCAATGACTACTACTGGACCCACGTGTCTATTATCTTTAACCTAACCATAGATCTGATTTACGTCATTCTAACCGGAGAAGAAAGTTACTTCTTACATATGTGTAAAAATAGGTACGCCATTTTTTACTGCAGTGTATTTTATCCGACGAACTTTTTTACTGACAGTGAAATGCCCTTCCCTCTTTACGTGGGGGCGAAACCGTACCCTGAGTTTGGAGGTTCCGATGGAAGTGACGACATGGAGGGAGAGGACAACCCGCTTCCTAAACAAATGAACAGCGAAAAGAGGAAATCATCATCCAAGTCAAGCAGAAGCCACAAAGGGAGTATCGATTTTGTATCCTTCCTCGTTACCGAAATAAGACTGTTTGCGTTAAGTAGATCCGCGGACCTGGTGGTTAAAGAAAGCAAAACTCTGTTGGAGTGTGCCTGGCTCGATGGTGCCAATGATGAGCTCTCAGACGGGAGGGAAGAACCCGACGAGGCACTAAATGGCTTAGCCCATCACACCCGTCGTGGTGTCCGAAGTAGTCTACGAGATGGAGAAGACCCAGATAGCTCAAAGAAGAATTCGAGGAGGGGCACAAGTGGTAGAGGTAAATCGAGTGACAATCATTGGGGCATACTGAACAGCGATGACGGGGTTGAATATGATGCCGCCCTGTCCAGTTCGGTCAAGAGGAAAGGCGGCGCCGACGAAGGGGACGAAATCAAGAACAAGTGCAACGAATTCAACAACGAGATTGAGAAGATGAAAAAGAGGTTCCACAAGTTTACTGACGAAATGAAGGCGGGGAGCGCCGGAGGGAGCGGTGTCGAAAGTTATGGTGGACGTGGTGACCGAAGTTGTGACGAAAGTTATGACCGACGTGATGCTGGCAATGCCAATGGCGCTGCCGCGCCCTCGCTGCGCCCGTGCGGTGAACACCCCTCACAGGGGGATTTTTTCAAATTCGACTCGGAAGAAGAGCAGAACGATTCTACCAAGGACCATTTTTTTTCCAAACCGGAGAGGAAAAACAACCCCTACGGCATTGTCCCCTCCAGTGATGACCTCTTTGCAAAAAAAAGGAAAAGCGTTACAAACAAGGAGAAGGGAGAAGAGCACCATTCGAATAAGTTTTCACACTTAAACACGACAAGAAAGAAAGCCGATTCCGCGTTTTATTTTAACTTCTCCGATGAAGGAGGCGAGAAGAGGGAAGAGGAAGGGCAATCGGATGCCAACCGGTTAGATGCACCGGAAGGCAGCGAAGAGGACCAAACGGAAGAAGCGAAGAAACCATCCTGGGACGGAGAAGCCCCATGGGGAGGGAAACACACCCCATCAGGAAAGAGAGACAGCCATGCTCATTCTGTATATCGGAAAGGTTCCCAAGATGGAGTAAAAAGCCCTATGAAAAAATATCTTAACAAAATCGTGAAGGAAAAAAATGGAGATGAACCCACTAGCGATAGCGATTACAAGAAAGAAGATGTGAAGCTACTCCTGAATGAACTGAAGGATAAATTTGAAAGCGAATTTGTGGACATCATGATAGACAAACTGGGACACAAGTTTCATCTCAAGAGAAAGGACAAGGAGAAAATATTTTCTACCTTTCGATCAAATGGAAGGAGAGAAAAAGAGGAGGTCAACTCAAAGGAGGAGGCCGATTCAGAGGAGGTCAACTCTGAGTGCATCAAGGAAAGGTATCTCGCAATGGTAAAGAGAAAAGAGGATAGACGACAAAACGAACTCCATGAAGAAATCAAGGAGGAGTTAAAGAAGGCCAAAGAGCAATCCACCGTGGAGAGAAACCTAAATAACTACATCAAGGACAACCAATTACTGAATGAATACTATATAAAGAAGTACAGTTACGCTGGAGAGAAACTCAGCGACAAGGAGAGCGAAGAAAACGTTCCTCAGGAGAGATGGACGGGTGGAAAGAATTTGCCTGACCCGGATGAATCGGAGGGTCCACTCAGTAACTCCAATTCGGCTCGGGAAGACGAATCCTCGAACGCCTCGGAAAGGAGTCACTCCATTGTCAATTTGCAGTACCAGGACGGCAGTCACGTCTTCGCAGATGGGGAGCAGTGGAGTCGCTCCGGTATCGGTGAGGAGTTAAACACACGAATGGGCGGAAACATGAATGCCGACTTCAACACAGGGGAAGGGCACCCTAGAGAGCGCGTCGAGCAGGAGGAGAAAAAGTCAGACATCAGCGATTTTACTTTTATGAAGAGGAGCAGCTCCGGCCGTGGCGGCCGTAGCGAACGTGGCGGGCGCGGCAGACCCCTCCTGCACAGCGGTGAGTCCGCCATCCAGGGTAAGGAGCCGCCCTCCCTACCATCAGAGCTCCGAATGGTCCCGTCCAACGAGACCGACTTGCTACCCGACGAAGGGGAGAAGAAGAAGAGCATTTCAAATCTCCTCCTCACCCAAGAAGAAGAAAAACACGGTGATAATCAACCAAACCAAGCAATAAGAACGGGAAAAAATTACTACCAATTTATATGCCCATTGACCCCCTATGAATTATTTCTCCTGAAGAGATTCCACAATAAGGGAATCAACGAAGAGCTTAAGGAGTTTAGAAATAAAAAATACCATTCGTGTGAAAAGCAGCTCATGTCAACAGGAGGAATCTGTAGGACCCCCCTCAACGTCGCCTACATCAAATACAAAATAACGATGATGAAGTCAATGCTGAGGAGTAGCCGAAGGTACATTCACGAGAAGAAGTTCAAGAAGGGGCTAAAGGTTTGCATAAAGAATGGAGAGTACATCCGAAATTTCGTCAGCAGTTACTGCGTGTTGAGAAGGAGGGAGCTCAATCGGGACTCCCCACCGAGAACCGCGGCGAGGACCTCGACAGGGTCCTCTCTTCCACCCTCGCTGGGACCTTCGGGGAGATCCCCCGGAGAAGAACAACCCCCCTACCAGTATGCCGACTTCTACCTAAACGTGGACAACGCATACATCACCATGGACGAGTTAAAAAACATTGTAAAGACGAACGTGAGGAATGTAATCATCTGTAAGCTTTTTATTCTGATCAAGGAATATAAGAAATACAAATATATCGAGAATTCTTCTCTCATTTTAGTCCTTCAGTCAGTCCTCTGTCGGATTGTTACCAGTTATACATTGTTGAGAAAGATTCTGAAAAAGTTTATCCTTTTGCTCTTCCTGAGGGGTTGTCTCAGCTTCGTAGAATCTATGTGCAGCTTCCTCTTCCTGCTGTACCCCAAGGAACGCAGCCACCCTCTTGTCTCCAAAGTGTATTCCCTCTGCAGGAACTCCTTTCTAATTTACTCCACCTGCTACAAGAGCAATAAATATGCCCTGATTAATAATTACGATTTGAATTTTGAGCAATGTGTGAAGCTTTTTTCTCCCGAGTGGGGCTACTACATCTACACAACCAGCAACTTTAACATTTTTTCCTGCACTGTGAAGTTCAATGGCTTCCTCAAAAGGGGCGCGGACTTCTCCGCCCTACGGGAGCAAGAGCCGCAGGGGGAGGGGCAGCAGGAGGAGGGACAGGAGGAGGAGGGGCAGGAGGAGCGGAAGACCATATGCGACATGGGTACCTTTGCTGGTAGCGGCTTCGATGTTGGTGACCCTTCGGGGGACGTAGGGCCCAGCGCGGACCGCACCCAGCTGCCGGAGGAGGACGACCCACCGAAGGAACCCACAGACGAGTGCAAACTCGCAACAGTAAATGTGTGCGGAGAGGTGTGCAGAGAGGAACCCAGTACGAACAGAACGGAACGCAAGAAAAACGATCTATACAGGTACCTCACCAACTATGAGAAAAAAAAAAGGAGTTACTACATCATTGATGATAACATGAGGCGCATCGAGTTCACTAGAAAAGAAACAAACCACAACTTGGAGACGTTTCTCCAGATGGACAACCCAAATGAGAGCTCAAGCGAACAGAGCAAGCGGGAGCAGTTCGATCGACTTATGAGCAAAGTCAACCGTGACGTGTATCTAAATTCTTCCGGCTCCTGCACGAATGCCACCTTTTTGGGGCACTGCCCCCACTGCAAGCATGCCTTTAACTTCTTCACTCGGTCGTGCAGAGTGTGCCAGCGGTATGTGCACGTCTGCTACTACCTGCTCATTCACTGTACCTACAAATACCACTGCGAGTTGTGTGACGCGACTTACTCGGAGAAGGTAGGTCCACCCAGCGCGCCTCGCGCCTCCACAGGCACGTAGAGCCACACATACAGAGTCCCGTAGAGGCACATGTATATTCAGACGTAGAGACAACCGTTGTATTCACCTCCGATTCACTTCCCTTTTTTTCCTCCCTGCAGTGCCTGGAAAAGTTCTCAAAGGGATTCACCTGCTTTTACTGCGGGCTGTTTTTCATCCGGAAGTGAGTCAACCCTGTGGAACCTACCCCCACGTAGAATGTGACACCATGCAGGGGGAAGCTGACCCATGCACCGCCCCCAGTGACCGTGTTGTCTTGTCTTGTCCCCACTTGGGCTCTTTCAAAGTTGATTAATTCGCTCGCCCCACCTGTGCTTTCTATTTTTTCTGTCCCTAGCGAGCAGCGAAACGTTTGTCACGTGCAATGCGCTTTGTTCTGTAGGCCCGCGTCTGCAGCTTTTTTTTTTTTTTTTTTTTTTTTTTTTTAATCGTTCCCCCAAAAAAAAAAGGAAAAAAAAAAAAAAAAAAAAAAAAAAAAAAAAAAAAAAAAAAAAAAAAAAAAAAAAACACACAAGGTAGCGACACAACGCAACGGCACAACGCAGACGGCTGCGGCGCAGCGGACTGCAACAACAAAACACACCATCCCTGACGGTATGGCGTAGACAGACGGCGGAACGGAAAACGGGCAAAAGGATAAATGTAGAGAGGCACGGAAAAACTTCACAAAACAGTCCAGGAACTCTTCCCCGAGCTATCCGCTCAAGTTAAATGAACGCGCTTCTCCATCATTAAAACGTCGTCCCTTGTGCATCGTTTAGCGGAATTTAAATTGAAAAAGGTGAATGTATAGGCTTTTGTGTGGGGAGAGGGTTGGGGGCATCTTTTGTGTGCTCCTGTGATCAGGAGCATCTCATCGGCTTGGCCCCTTCTTGGCGCGGCTCTTCTGCTTCGGCTTCGTCCACTGCTTCGTCTACTGCATCTATCTCAAGTTACTCCACTTCTATCTCCTCCACTGCTGCTTCTTCCCTTCCTCAGATCATATTCTCATGTGCCACGCTGACTCTCCAGCGCACCCCGTCCCCTGCGGGGCGATTTGCAATGCAGTGGCATGGACACATCCAGCACAATATGTTGTTTCCGAACACCTGTCAAAGGGGGTGGAGGAAGGCGTGTAGGAAGACGTGTAGATGAGTCGGCCCCAGCGTCCATGGTACACTACAAAGGCACAATAAAGGCGCAATAAACACACACCCCCCTAACAATCAAGCTGGCTTCGCCGGGCGCACCCACCTGCTTCGCGTTGTCCTCGCATCCCACGTTGTACATGTTGTAGTCCTGGTTGTATATGTCCATGTTTTCGATTGTGGTGGAATTTTTGGAGATCAATTTCAAGTGAAACTTCGTGAAGGGAACTAAAGCGAAAATTAAAACGAACGTTAAAAATAAAACAATAGAAGCATACGTGTACTCCAGAGCCACAAAGGAAGACTTGTCGTGGAAACCATCCTCTATATATGCGTTTGCATTGTCAATGAAAATGTAGTGGAATGTCTGGACTGCCACTATGAAGAGACAAATTAAGCCATAAAATAAAAGCTGTATAAAAAATCTTCGATTGAAAAAACCCACACAGTTGTTAATCCATGGACAGTGGTGATCCATGTTCAATACACATCTGTTACACGCTGAGCAGTGGTGTGTTCGGTCGGGTTTCCACACGTTACAGATTTTGCAGTAGCGCCTTCTCTTCACGTCGTCACCAATGTAGAAGCCCCAGTTGCGAGGAACCTTCCCGGGGTCAGTCGAGGCGCACTGCGAGGAGGTGAAGGAGTAATGAATAGGAAGCGGGTGCGATCATAAGTAAGCAAAAGTACTAGCAGGAATAGGCAGAACTGTGCGAAGATAAGCCGAAAAACATGCAAAGGGGGGGAAGAAAAAACGAGGCAACTAGCTGTGCCGGAGAAATGCATGCACACAGATCAGAGAAAAAAAAAAGAGTTAAAATGGTGAAAAGGGTTAGGAGGTTGAAAATTGTATGAACAGTTCAGGAAAAAATGCGAAAAATTCGAGAAATATATGAACAGTTTTGAAAAAAAAAAAAATACACACACACACAGAAATGCAAGCGCTATCGCAGCCTCGTAACCGCACACACGAAATGGGCTTTTTCAGCGCGTCAACTGACTCTCTCCCTCTTGTAGAATTTTACTTTTATAAAACTTAGCAAAAACAAAAAAAAAAAGACGTGGAACAAGGCGGCTATTGTGAAGGAACCACTCCTGTACGGGATGAACCAAGACCGAAGGACGATTCCCGTGTATCCTATGTATATGAAGGCTGCAAGGGGTGAGAAAAAATAGGAAAAATAGAAAAAAAAAAAATAACATGGAGGTGGCCATACGGGTAGACAAAACAGCGTCGCGACGGTAAGCGATTAATGTAACACTGCTAAGAGGGAGGGGAGGTCGCCGCAACATTGATACACTTCTGCACCGCTACAGTGCTGCCTCTATGTTGGCGAGCTTACCTAGTATGAAGAACACGATAAATATGAATATGGAACCACCTTTCTTTTTTTCTGTTTGCCCTTGCAAAGGCTGCATGTAATTTGGTCTCATTTTTTATGGGGATATCTTTCTCTTCCAGTTGTGTACATTTAAGCATTTGCTTGCGCAGAGGTACATGTGCGTGAGCAAAAATACAGGTGCATGTGCCGCTTCACCAGGTGTGCCTCTTCACAGACAGGACGCATCAAACTGTGTGCTGATGTTTTTCTCTCCTGTGCGAATTACCACTCGCGCGATGCTGTCCTCATTTGATTTCCTAGTTAGGTGAAAATGTGTTAATCCTTCATTTCTATCTGTACACGCATACCAGTGTCTTCATGCGCACACGGATAAAACCTATGGCATGCACATGTACTTGCACGTATAAGTACAAGCATATACACATATAATCTGTACTCCTTTATTTTT